CCAAGAGGGCTGATGCGGCTGCAGCGGCCGAAGCAGCCCAGGAAGCTCAAGGCGATCATGATGCTGCTGTACCTGATGCTGGGGCTGCCGCCCGAGCTGACGCTGCCGCAGGTGACTTCCACACGGAGAGTGTCATCAAATTCGAGGACCTCGACGGTCGATGGATCGATGACCTGTCTGCCAGCTCCCGTGCCTCAGCCAGTTCGGTCAGCGCCGCCGCCTCTGACGCTGGCGGGGCGCAGGGACACGGCGATGGAGGCCAGGAAGCCAAGTTAGCTGGAGGTTTTGACCCGCAAGGCTGTCGAGGCGGCGCTGAAGAGCGCCCCGGACCACGCCAAGAGAGCGAAGGTGCAGACGAGCACTTAGCACGGCATCCTGTTCTGAGCCGAGGCCCTGGTCTTCTGTTTCGCGTAATGTAATTGCAAGGGGGGGTGGGGCTTGACATTTTCCTCTCTCCTCCTCTCTCTCTCTCTCGCACCGACCTCATTGCTCTGCAAGAGACCCATGTCCTGGCTGCGGGGGCGATGTAATCCAGTCTTCGAGCCCAAGGGCGTCGTGGGCGGTGTTACCTCGCAGTTGCCACTGGTCGCGGTGGAACTTCAGGAGGTTTGATCTTGGCTGGGCCCAAGCACATCGGTTTGTCGCGTGTCGTTGGCACCCCTGACCTTCTTGAGCCAGATCGTGTTGGTCTTTTGCATTTCGGAGGCGTTCTTCCAGAAGGAGTGGTCGTCGCTAGCACCTACCTGCATCATAGTGTCGGCATTGCTGTTCAGAATTGAGCCATTTCCTGTGAGCTTGGGGGCATCCTTCGTTCTGTTCGGATGCCCTTCATCCTAGCTGGAAACTTTACCCTGGAGCCCGAAGTCCTCGAACACAGCAGGTGGGTTGCAACTGTTGACGCCGCGGTTGTTGCCCCCAATGATGGTGCGTGCCGTCCCGCTGATCGTGTCATTGACTACTTTCTCGTTACACGTGAGCTGGCCTCATGTTCTTCGGCCCACGTCAACTATGAGGTCCCCGTGGCTCCCCACTACCCCGTCCAGATGCTCATCCAGAAACCCAAGAAGCCCGTGATGGTCCGAATGGCCAAAATCCCCAAGAGGTGTTCTACCGTGGTCCTGCGGGGCCCCTTCTGCCTTCGGACCAGTCTCGCTGGGAGGCCACTCGTGAGGCTTTGGAGGCTGGAATGCCACCAGCTTTTCCCAGGGTCAGTGCCCCGGCGATTTGGTGGCGCAATGTGTCTTTGGTCTTCCAGGCGTTTGCGCAGCCTTGTGGAGCGCATAGAACTCAACAGGTCGTCCGAGCAGCTCGGAAGTTGCAAGGTTCCCCGCTGGTGCAGTCTGACTACATGGCGCAGTTCTGTGTCATGATGCATCACCTGTTGCATCATGACATGTGCTATCGCCTTGCCCGAGTGCTTGCCCAGATGGCCAACGACCAGGCTATTCAGCTTTCACGAGCCGCGGCTTCGCAGAAAACCATGGGCTGGGACCAGTGGGTTCGCAAGCACTCGGTCAATGGCGACGCAGCTCATTTCAAGCAGCCGTCGCCCCTCGTGCAGTATGCCCCCGCCAACGCCATGCAGGAGATCTCCCGCTTGCAAACTGAATGGGCTAAATGGTGGCGAGCTGGGGAAACCAATCCTCCTCCTTCCTGGCCCCAGGACCTTGGAGAACGGCCCCCCTCCCTCTCTGGACCACCTCAGAAAGGTTGCGCTCACGCCCCCTGAGGGGACGGGATCGGGTTTCGACCTGTTGCCGCCGAGACAACTTCTTAGGCTCCCTGATGAAGCCCTCACTTAGCTTTGCCGGCTAATTCACTTTATTGAGCAGCAGGTCCAGTGGCCACCCATGGTCACACGCATCGTTTTTATACAGAAGAGGCTTGGCGGCGTCAGGCCGTTAGGATTGATGCATTGTTTGTGTCGTGTTCAGGCCAGGCTGCGTCGGGATATTTTGCAAAGCTGGCAAAAAGGCTAACTATCGGTACTTCTGATGGGCGGTTCGTGGCAAATCCGCTGAGCTCTCGATGTGGCTGCAAGCTGCGTGGGCTGAGTACCACGCGAATTCGGGTTCTGACACTGCCACCCTCCTAGTTGACCTCAACAAAACCTTCGAGCTGATTCGGCACAGGCACCTCTTGCAGGCTGCTCAGAAAACTAAGTTTCCCCTCTGGCAGCTGACACGTCTGATCCTGGCTTACAGGTCGCCGCGCGTTTTAGAAATGCAAGGCTTGTGCAGCGACAAGCTGCTGGTCGATCAGACCATCCTCCCCGGCTGCCTCTACGCCACCTGCCTCCTGCAGCTTATGCTCATTGGCCCCCTTGATGAGGTCCGACGTGAGTAACCTGCTGTACCTATTGCGGTCTGTGTGGACGACCTTAGTCTGCAGAGGAGCGGTAGTACGAGGAGGGTGGAGGATGAGGTCGCGGGAGCGGGTGCTTTGATGGAGCAGGAGGTGCAGAAGGTCGATTTAGTCATCGCTCTCGACAAGTCTCGTGTGCTTGCTATTTCACCAGCTCCGCAAGAAGCGCTGCAGCGACGTTTGGTCAGTGTCAACGCTTTGGCTGTGCACTCCGAGCGGAGCCTCTGAGATGATTTCTCTGCGGGACGAGCCACTCGCAGGAGGACGGGAGCTGCGCGCGTCGCCGTGGCGAAACACAAATTGAGAAGGTTGGGGCATCTCCAGGGGTCCAGCGTCAAGAAGAAAACTCTCAAACTCTCCAGCCCATGGCCCGCGCCTCCCTGGAGACCTCGGTCACCTTCGGCACGTGCGCGCAGGGCACCCGCACCACCGAGCTCGACACTCTCCGCGCGCTTGCCGCTGCTGCCATTGATTCCAGATCTGCTGGACGATCTCGTACTATGGCTCTTCTTCTTACGTCTAGCCCCCATCTATAGAGCCACTTTAGAGCCGGTCAAGGCCTTTATGCACGTCTATTGGCGTGAGTTTATGCCCCCGAAGGGGGTTGCTGCTTCTGCTGCTCGGTTGGGGTCCCACTCTCTGCGCAGGGTAGGCGCTGATTGTGCCAACATCAGAGCCTGGCTTTTCCCGAACGGGCAGGTTGTGAATCCTCTGGAGCTCTGTCCTAGGTCGGTCGAGTTTCTCGTCGAGAGGGCGGTCGTCGCCTGGCAGATGCAGAAAGCTGCTGATCATCTTGAGGCTCCTGAATTTCTTGAAGACATCTGGATTGAACCCTTGCGTGCGCTGTATCAGTCCAGAATCCTCACGGCCCCCGAAGGGGCTTACCTTCGGTCCGTGGCGATCGGAGGCCAATTGCCTCAAGCGAGCCAGCACGCGCAGAGTTGGATCCGGTCACCCGAGTGCCTCATCTGCCAAGATGGTGATGGCACGCTGGTGCACAGTCATGCCCGTTGCGAGTCGATCGAGCCTATGGTCGCGCCTGTTCCCGAGCGCGTATCTTGGCCGCGCAGGCGTTCACCAACAAGCTTGCGGAGATCCTCATTGAGGGAGTTGTGCTAGCTAAGCCTCGGGTTCCACCTGACCTCCTCCAGTGGCCCTCTGAATCCTACTATCGTTGGGAAGGTCACCCACAAGGCCTCACGGGGGATGTATTTCTGGATGGATCGCTCTACGAGGACTTGCCCACGTATCCTGTGGCTGGTTTCGCCTGTCTCTCTGCATGGGATGATGAAGAAGTTGCGCGCACCGTCCTCACAGGCGTTTCGCCTAGCCCTCATCAGGCCATCGACGGTGCTGAACTGTTCGCTTTACATGCGGTGCTCGTGCACGCTGTTCCGCCCATGGTTGTGTACTCGGACTTTGCGTTCGCCGTCCAGGGCGTCAACAGCTGGGGAAGGGAGCGTACCACCTCTCCTGGTTACTCTGGGCTCATCTCTGAAGTCTCGTCTGGACTAAGCTCGAGGACTGGGGTGAAGGAGTTCAGGTTCGGAAGGTGAAGTCACGCGTCCATCAGGCTCAGATCCTCGAGGGCCTGCAGTCCGCCAGGCTCTCTTTCGGCAACAAGTGTGCGGATGAGGAGGCGAAGGCGCGTGCCTACGATCGTCGGCCCTCGCTGCAGTTTCAGCGCCTCGTCGCCCAGCAGCGGAAATTTCTCCGCGGGCTCGGGGTCTGGGTCGCCCAGGTCGGTGCTGTGTTGTCCGAGACTGACTGCCAGCATCGGGTTAAACGACCAAGAGTTGACGCCCCCCTCAATTCAGTTGGTCAAGCCCCCTCCCTCATCGCTCGAAGAAAGGATTGCCCAGTCTCAGGCTGCTCTTCTTGCTCGAGGGAAACGTTTGCACCAGTCGTTTAGTTTGCAAGTCCCCACCCAGCCCAGACGTTCTGTCGTGTGATGTGGCCGCTGTGGCGCCTTTGTCACTCAGAAGTTGGTTTCTCTTGCTCTCCCGTGTCCCACTCATGTTCCGAAATAGGCGCGTACGGTGGCGACTCGGCTCTCCGAGGGTAAGTTTAAGCTCGATGGGGCGGTTCAGTTTGTCGAGAATCTGCGGCGGCCGCCGCCGCCTTCCATGCCCGGTGCTGCCTCTGCTGTGGCGCCTCCGCTTGCTTTGCAGGCATCACCCGCGTCTGCCCAGGCCGTCCGTGCCCGTCTTCGTGGGGAGGTGGGGTACGGGCGGGGGCGGGGGGATGCTTCAGAGGCCTCTGACTAACCTGTCGAGCCCACTGTCTTTTCTCTCTTCGCGAGTTCGTCCGAGGTGTGCGGCAGATGGCGTTTGCAAGGTGCGCCTTCTGCCGCATAGTCCTTCCTTGCCGCTGGCGGTGACAGACTTCGTCGCCGCCTCCCTAGCTGTGCCCAGGACGAGGAGGAGGAGGAGGAGGAGGAGGAGGAGGACGAGGAGGAGAAGGAGGAGTCGAGGAGGAGGAGGGGGAGAAGGGGGAGGAGGAGGAGGAGGAGGAGGACGACGAGGAGGAGGAGGACGAGGAGGAAGAGGAGGACGAGGAGGAGGAGGACGAGGAGGAGGGGAAGGAGGAGGAGGGAGGACGAGGAGGGACAGGGACGACGGGCCGCCGCCAGGCACCCCCGATAGGTGGCCGCCTGCTGCACGAACACGAGCGAGAACATGTACAGTATGACGGCCATCAGCACGAGACTCCACATCAGGGCCCGCAGCGATCCCAAGATGCATGCCTGCTGGGCCTGCTTTGCACCACCACCACCACATCTTGGGGGGGAGGGGGCCCTCCTCCTTCGCCTCCTCCTCGACCTCCTCCTCCTCCTCCTCCTCGTCGTCCTCCTCCTCCTCCTCGTCCTCCTCCTCCTCCTCGTCGTCATCCTCCCGCCCCCCTCCAACTTATGGTGGTGGTGGAAAACAGGCCCATCAATGCCATGAGCAAGTTCAGCTCCTGCAGGACCTTGATCACCCGCATCATACGAAGGACTTTGGCCGTCCTGAAGAGCCGGAGGGACCGCATCCAATGACTCGAATTGCCAGAAGAACCAACCATGTACTCAAACATCCACTGACCCGCTTGAGGGACCATCCTGGTGCGAAATTTAAGATATCCTGGCAGCCTATCACCAACAGTACAAACAAGTATACCCTCATCAACATAGGTTGGCCTGTGTAACCGCATGCCCGCGATAATAAAGCACCCCCTGAACCCATGCGCCATGATTTGCCATGCTATAAACTTATTTTTGATAGACGGGCGGAGCGGCGAGGCCGAACTTTACCACCACCACCAGGGAACATACGAATCGTACATGTAATCATCGTTTCGAGGATGTCTCGAACAAAACGCTTGGTTGATCATCCTTCTCTTCCGTCTCTTCTTTACAGACTCTCTTACTTATGTTCCTTCTCTTCTCTGTCTCCTCCTCATTTTACTCCCCCTCCCCACCTTCCTCCCTCCGCGTCCCAATTGAACTTGTTTATCGCCGTCATTGTTCACCACCTCCGAAGAGCAACCATGAGTACTCCTACACGACGAGTAGAAACACCACACATCCTTGAGTTTTACAATAAGAATATGATAGGTCCGAAGTCTTGATTTTTCTTGCAATCTCCTTCTCCTCCTCTGTCCTCTCCTCGTCGTCCTCATCCTCCTCTTGTCTTGTCCTCGTCCTACTCCTTGTCCTTCTTGTCTACCCTTTTTCTTATCCTCTTTTAAAATTACTCCTCCTCCTCCGCAGATCAGTTTGGAGGTCATCCAAGACCCATCCAAACATCCCAACATCGATATCTCCGGGGCAAATCTACTATCCTCCCAGGACTACGCACTTTAGTATCCCCATGGTGTGATTATCACCGGCGAAATGTTACTTTTTTCTAACATGTGAAACCCTAAATTGCAGAACGCGCGATGACCCGTGGATCGGCAAGATCTCCGGTGTAACCCGTGGATCGTTCTCCATCGTGCCCCCGCAGAAATCTGGCTCCCTCTCACCATGGCAGCAAACCCGCATAACCGTTTGGAGCCCTTCGAGGGCTATTTTGGGGCGTCAGAGCGCCCTCCTGGATCCCTCTCGGGCTGTTTGAAAGCTTTCTTGAGGCTGTCTTGGAGGCCTTTTGGGGCCCTCGGGGCGCCTTGCCCCCTCCTTGAAGCACACTTCGTCCGTCCAGAGGGCCCTTTGGCAACCCTGGGGGCCTCTTTCGGCGAACGCGGCTCGTCTTGGGCCCCCTCCGGCCCTGGCGCCACGCTAAAGCGGGAAGCCTGAAAAACCAAGCATGCCGATACTTACATACAAGGCGTCTCCAAACTTCTGCTGCCTGCAGCCTCTCTCAGGGTCCTCTCGTACCGCCCATCGGGGCCTCTCGGGTCCTTGTGGGACATCTTGGAGGCCTCTTGGTCCATACCGGGAACCTCGTAATTCGTTGGAGGCGTCTTGGGCAGTCTCAGTGGGCTGCTGGAGGCCTCTAGAAGCCCGAACTTCCTCCCGAGCACGGCGACAGGGCACCAACTGGTGCGCAGCCCTCTTAACGCCTGTCATTCATGCAATACCTGCTCCGCGCTACTCGTCGTACGATCGGCCCTTGCTCCCATGGCCACGGCCCCAACCAACATGACATGGATTCTCGCTGCCAGGGGCGGAATGATGTTCACAAAGCTTGCAACATCGAAGGGTATGTCCTTTGGAACGACTCAGTGCGCTTTCAGCCTGCCTGGCTGCCTCACAGCCACCAGACACTCTCAAGGGGTTGTTGGCAGCAGGACGGCGAAGCCTTCCATCTGAGGTCAAAGGTGCCGTACACCACTAGGGTGAAGTCCAGAACCTTCCAGCCAAAATCGCCGAAGAAAAAAAACTCCCGGTGCACGGCGAACTTGAGCGCAAGCTCCACAGTGTAGAGGCCAAGAAACACCACGTCCGCCCAGCGAATGAACGACGAGGCGGCCTCCGCCGGGTGAGCCGCCTGCTGGTTCATCGCGTAGGCCATGAACACCGCGTTGAACAGTATGACGAGAGCAAACCTTGGACCCCCCCTGGCCCCTGGCCGACCCGCGGCCCGCCACGGCCAGACCAACAACCCTCACCCAACTGGTTCGACCCTTAGTGGGCCCCGGAAACGGCAGGGCCGTTTTTTCACCGTTTCCGAAGTGTCCCTTGAAAATGGAGACGGCAAAAAAACGGCGACAAGAAACGGCAACAGAAACGGATCTATCACTGGTGGCCCAGCACTGACGCGGACCCCATTAAGCAAATCTATTAAGAAAATCTTGCAATTTTAATTCATTTTCTGGGAGAGAACGAGTCCTTATACAGAGCCATACCACGACGTCTGACGCCGATTGGTTGAGTAGCCGAAAAACGATGATCTCTCAGGATTCGCACGAAAGCAAATACAAGGACGAAAATGGAGAGAATCAGTAAGGACGAGAGGGAGCAGCAGAAGCAACAACAGGAACGCAGCAAAACGCATGTTCCTCACCTGCCCCTGCTCTTCCTCACAATTCCCCATCTTCCCTCCCCCTCTTCCCCCCTCCCCCTCCTCTTCCTGATCGTCTCCTCCTCCCCCCTGCTCCTGCTCCTCCCCCTCCGCCTCCTGCTCCTCCCCCTAATGTTCCTCCGTCCTTCTGTTCATGCTCCTCCCTCTCGTGTTCCTGCTCCTGCGCCTCCCCCTCCTCCCTCCCCTGCCCCTCCCCTTCCCGGCCTCCCTCACCCCCTCCTCCCTTCTCCCTCCTCCCCCCTCACCCCATCCTCCCTCCGTTACCCTTTTCGTGGCCCCTGTCCCATCCAATGGAGAATCCCTACGGCCCCTTCCCAAACGGAGGCGAGCGAAAGGCCCTCGCGAGGAGGCGAATTGGGAGAGCAAATCTGGAGAGCAAAAAAAAAGAGGCGGAGAGCAAATCTGGGAGAGCAAAAAAAATAGAGGATGTCTGCAGCGCCGGGCCCTCCTGCATGCACGAAAAGGTGGAGAGCAAATTTTTTGGGGTGAGATGGAGGCGGTTTTTCCCGACGGTGCGCGCGGACGGTTTCGAGGGCGGCCTGGGAGGAGATTTGCTCTCCCTCCGGGGAATCCAAATTTACCCCTCAATTTTTGCTCTCCCCGCGCCGTTCCTTTTCACTGCCCCCATCTTGCGACGGATTACGAGGATGACGGCGAACAAACTGATGGATGGCGATAGTGGCCGGCAAATGTTATGATCGACCTTCTTGGGGCGGCGGTGAACGAAAAAACGCGGCACACCAGTCATAACAATCACACCAAACACGGCGGGTACACATAGAACACACAGCACGCTGGGCACACCAAGAACACAGAAAAATTGCAACGCGACTCAAGACCTCGTCACGTTTCCAACAACACAACAAGCCGACACCAACACATTGCGATTCCCCGATCTGGGGAACTGTCTTGGGAAGCCCCACGGGGCCATCTTTGGCCGTCTAAGGTGATCGCGGTTTTCAACTACTGTGCGTTAACAGACGCCTGCCATCGCACAACCTCCCCGCATGTCGCCGCGCATTGTGCGGGCACCGCGCTTTTCCCCGACGCGGGGCGCGCGGCGAATCAAAATCCGCCCAGCAAAAAAACAAAATTGCGAAACATGATATTTTTGCTTTCCTGCGCTTTTGCTCGTTAGTGGTTCCCAACCATTGAGATCTAGGATTGGAACCGGAGCGGGAGCCCGTAAAAGAACGGCGACGGAACCGGTAAAAAAACGGCGTCGGAACCGGAACAAAAACGGCAAAACGGAACCGGTAAAAAAACGGCCCTGTCGTTTCCAGGGCCCACTAAGGCCTGACCCATCTTCCAAACCTCCGCCGTCGTGGCTCTCTCGGCGCCTTGGCCTTACGGCTCCCCGCCCCGCCCACGGGACGGGTCTGCCGTCCCGGCTCGTCTGTGCGCGGCGGTACGCGGCGCCCGAGAGAGCCGCCTGCACCTGCGAGCGCCGAGGTCCGCCACGCCCGACGACCTGGTATGTTCCAGAACGTCGGAGGTCTCGGCCCCTTTGCGCGAAACGTCCTCTGCAAAAAAGGTACTCCAGATTTCGTAATAAAAGGGAGGGGGTCTCATTTCGGGGGGGGTCTCTTCCAGGCTATCTTGGAGGGCCTGGGGGGGTCTGGGGACGATGTTTTGGAGGGTTCTCCCACGGGGGGGGGTCTGAAATGGCTTGTCTTGGAGGGTCCAGACCCCCTCCCTTTTATTACGAGATCTGGAGTACCTGTTCACCAACCGTGGCCATCCTGGGCCCCCGGCCCTCTGTCAAGATGGCGTGCGGTCTATGCTTTTGTGCTCGGCGTGTCGCGGCAACGGCCCCGGCGACACGCTATGACTTGCAAGCGGGAGGCGTGTCGCTCTGCTTCGCGGGGCGGGCGGCTGGCCAAAAGTCGGGACGTTGACGCTTGGGGGCTAGGACGTGGCTAGCGGGCCACCACGCGCGCCGAAGCGCGGTGGGCCAGAACGGGCGGCACGATTTGTCCTCGACAGCGCCGGCGGTCGCAGGCGCGGGGGTCGCTTCCGGCGAGGCGCGCGGGGCGCGGGGCGCGAAGACGACGGGAGAGAAGAAGAGAGCGGCGCGGACAAGGGAGGTGGGAGAAACACGACCGTCGAGAGTCGACGGGTGAGGGCCGCTCAGGCGGCGTCAGGTACCGCAAACGGTGTGCAACAATTAGCGGGGCAGCGAGAGGACCATGCCGCATGCCGCCGACGCACCGGCGGCGTGACACGCTAACTCAAACCTACTCCCCGATAGAACCTCGGCCAGGAGGATGCATACACTAGGCCGGGGCCCGCAGGAGGGCCCTGGCCAGGCATGGCGGTGCCATGGGCGTCTCCTGCGCTCGCGTCCCGCTGCCCGGGGGAGCCCGAGACTGCCCCGGCCGCTGACCCGCCCGACCGGCCCGCTCGGGTGCACGGTGTGGGCAGGACCGGGGGCATCATCTGAGGCGCGAGCGTGTACTCGAACCTTTTGCCGTCGACGAACTCCGCCAGCCTGGGGGATTTCTGGCCACAGGCCGCTGCAACATGGGCCTCCGCCGCCGCAGGCCGCTATCGCCGCATGCTGCCGCGCCAAGGCCGCCGCGGCAGGTCGCCGCCGCCGCCGCCGCAGGCCTCCGCTGCCGCAAGTCGACGCCGCCGCCGTGCAGTCGTCCGCGGCGCGCCAACTCGTCTGGGGAGCGCGACGGCTGGCCCCAGGCCTCATCGCGTCGTGGAAAATCACGACCAACAGCTTTGGCAAATTTCTGCCTCTGGGGGCCCTCGCTGGGCCCCAGGGCCATCAAAGAACGACTCAGGAAGAAAAACCAGTCCCGGGAAACGGGCGGAGATTCGGCTGCTCGCACGCCCTCAAACTAGTGGGGGTTCAGAACCAGAAAACAGGCTCTACACATACGTGGATATGTAATTTGTTTGTCTTCGACGAGCCAATTCTACATATCAGAACACGTCGCTTCTACACATCACGCATAAATATGTAGAAACAAAACGAAAGCTTTACACTTGAAGCAGACATGTGTAGAAAATTTTACACTTGAAACAGACATGTGTAGAAGGACGAAACGGACTGTGGTTCTACACATCACGCAGAAATGTGCAAAGTTGGGACCAAACATCTGTGGATCTACAACTCCGGAAATGTGTAGAAACCTCTTCCTCCCCAGTGGTCGGTTTCTAAACGGAAGCGATATGAGGGTCTAGCCGCAACCAAAGGCGGAGACCTGCGGTGGTCCTCTTGGAGAGCTGGAGTAGGGCGGGCTGGCTCGACTTGCTTCTCGGCCGACCACTCGCACGGCGCTGGCGCAAAGTCATGGGGGGGGCGGTGTCCATAATTGCGGCCTGGAGCTTTTGCTCAGCGTGGCGCGGCGGCGGCACCGGCGACACACTAATTAGGCCCTGCCAGCGGATAGCGTGTCGCTCCGCTCCGCATGGCGCGAGGCTGGGAAAGGCTCGGGACGCTGACGATTGGGAACTGGAAAGTGGTTAGCGTGTCGCGCCGAAGCGTGGCAGCGCAGCACGCAACGCGAGCATTCCGTATGTGTGGCCTCCTCCCTCGGAGTTGATCCCCGATCTGCCTTGGAGCATCCCGAACTGAGGGTTCCGAGGCGGATCAGGCCGTGGCGACCAGGGCCTCTCCACGAGACCAACAAAGCTGAGCCCCCGCCCATCCCACACACCTACACATACACACACATGCAAACACACAAACACACAAAGACACGAACGCAGAACACACAAACACACAGACACACAAACACACATACACACTCAAACGCACAAACACACAGGCACACAAGCACACACACACACAAACACACAGACACACGGACACACGCACAGGCACACGCACAGCCACATGCACGGACAGACACACGCACAGACACACGCACAGACACACGCACAGACACAGACACAGAGACAGACAGACACACAGACACACACACACAGACACACACACACACACACACGCACGCACGCATGCACAAACACCAACACCAACACCAACTCAAACAAAAACATAAGCACCAGCACAAACACAAGCACAAACACACACAACCCAACACACCGCACACCACACACCACACACACACCGCACACAACACCAATCACACCCAACACACACACCACACAACACAACACAACACAACACAACACAACACAACACAACACAACACAACACAGAACACAACACAGCACAACGCACAACACAACACAACACAATACAACACAACACAACACAACACAACACAACACAACACAACAGAACACACACACACCACAACACAACACAACACACACCACAACACAGCACACAATACGCAACACACAACAAGCAACACACAACACACAACACACAACACACAACGCACAACACAACGCACCACACCACAACACAGCACAACATAGCACACAGCACAACTCAACACAACACAACACAACATAACGAAATGCAACACACATAACACAACACACACACACACACGCACGCTCACAGCACTTGCCCTCCTCCTCTATCTGCTCATCACTCATCATCCTAGTTTCTTTCTTGGGCCATAGTCCCCAGGCAGCTGCCCGGAACAACTCCAGGCTCTCCAGAAGGCTGATGGAGGACACCCTGGGCCCGAAAACCACTAGGGTCTACAAAAAGCTATGAAACAAATCCCCTCTCCTCTGCCCTCCTCCTACTCCTCCCCCTCCTTCCTTCTCCTCCTCCTCCACCTCCTCCTCCTCCTGCTCTATTCTGCTCGCCCTCCTTCTCCCTCCCCCCTTCCCCCCCCCCTCCTCCTCCCACCTTCCCCTCCTCCTCCTCCTCCTCCTCCTCTGCCTCTGGCACTGCCCCTCCCTCCTTTACGGGAGCCCCCTCGTGCGGGAGCATGCGCGCGGGGAGGGAGGGTGGAGGGAAGAAAATGGCAGGCTGATTGGATCGGGCTCTCGCGCCTGAGCTCTGACTGGAGAACTTCGACGGACAGCGCAAGCAGAAACAAGAAGAAGACTAGCTACCCCAACCGATCTTTAGGGCGCGTGCCTTAGGCGGAGGAGGAGGAGGAGGAGGAGGAGGAGGAGGAGGAGCCAGGCTTGTGGCTGCACGCAGGTGTCGCACCTGGATGGGCTCCAGGATTTGGGCTAGGTACCCTGCGGGCAGTTCCTGTCGTGACCAGCCGAGCATATTAGCTCCAGGCTGTTCTGTGCGTAACCCTTCGCCCTGCCAAAGGGGAGGGCCGCTCAAAACCGGCCCGAGAGGGATCAACCCCTGCCCGTCTCCCGAGCCACGCCCGTGGCCGCGGCGACGAGAGCCTCGGCAAACGCCCAGAGACATCCCAAACGGAGACGACGGCGGCCGCGTTGACGCTGGCACAAAAAAAACGAACGGGTTCCTGACTTTGGAGCCTTCCCCCAAAACCGGCTCGTCGCCCTGACTCGTCTTCTGCCAGTCCCGTGACCCGTCGAGGGCCGCGGGAGGCCAAAAACAGGGGAGAACACCTCAGAACCAGGCCGCAGATTGCCGGCCCCCGGCGGCCTCCCTGTGCGCTTCGGTTCCTCCACCTCCTCAGTACTCTCGGGCGGGCGGCTGAGGGAGGGGCTGGCGGCCGCTTCCCCCCCGCCCCGTGGGCAGCTCAGCGAACCGGCCGCATGCTGCTGGTTTCCCTGGCGCTGGTCGGCGCTGGGAGCGAGCGACGAAAACTTCACCACGGGCGGTTTTGATAGTTTGCGGCCTCCAGGGCCCTCGCTGGGCTCCCGGACCGTCAAAGCTACTGAGGATGAGAAGCCGGTCCCGGAGAGGCGTCCAGACTTCTGGGGGCCCACGTCAATGCGTCAATGGAAAAACACGACGTTGGGGGCCTCGGATCGGTGCCTGGCGGTGCAGCTAGAACAGGCGGCATGCACCAGATTTCCCAAATGCTCTGTCCGTTGGAAATGACGAGAAAACCCTGGTCTTCTGCGGAGGGGGCTTGGGTACGGGATGGTGTATTGCAGCCCCGCTGACGCAACCTGGGTTCACTCTGGTCGACCTCCTCCTCCTCCTCCTCCTCCTGCCCCTCCTCCTCCTCCTCCCAACTCCACATCCTCGCAGATCCTCTCTCTTCGCCAGACCCCGAAGTTTTTTCTTTTCAACATTAGTACACATGTATATGTATAGATATGTGTATATATATATAACTATTTATATATATATATATATATATATATATATGGCGTGGGCTCCCGGATGTCTCGACCCATGTCTTGGGACCGTCTGTTCATCCCGAGTCGCTGCTTGGCGCTCCCTGGCCCCAGGCGAGGGCCCCCAGAGGCAAACACACACAACGGACCTGCCATCGCGTGCTTTCACGACGCGGGGGGGGTCCTGGGCCTCCGCCCCTTCCCTCCGCCCCCTTCTGGACCTCCGCCCCTTCCCTCCGCCCCCTTCTGGACCTCCGCCCCTTCCCTCCGCCCCCTTCCTCTATACGCAGAGTCAGCCCGTCCCCAAGGGAGAAAGCAGCAGCCTCGGCGCGCAGTGGGGGGGGGGGTCAGGAGAGGAGCAGGGGCTGGCAGGCAGAGCGAGCGACCGAGCTGGAGCGAGCGGGGAAGCGGGCGGGGCTCCCAGGAGCACAAGGGGGAGGGGGCCTGGGGCAAAAATGGGGGAACGAAGAATGGCATACACATAACAACTCGGAGGTCCGCGCGGACTCCTCGGATCCGCGCTGGGCCCCCCTGGCGGCGCCTCCGACGCCGACGCTGGCGCGCTCCGCGAGCCAGGGAGGGGGGTCCAGCGCCGGTCCGAGCAGTCCGCGCGGAGCTCCGAGCTTGTATGTTTATGCCGTTCTTCGCTCCCCGGAAGAAGCAGCGGCACCACCGCCCGCGCGGGTGCAGACGGTCCCGAGGAGGAGGAGGAGGAGGAGGAGGAGGAGGAGGAGGAGGAGGAGGAGGAGGAGAGGGAGGAGGAGAGGGAGGAGGAGAGGGAGGATCCTCCTGCGACCCAGACCCAAGCGCCGCGGGAGAAGCACGACGGCCGGGCTCCCTGTGGATGTTCGGCCTCCGGGGGGGGGGCCCTGGCTGGGCCCGGGGACGGTGAGGAACAGCTACTCTCGGCGGCGAGCGCGCGGGGGGGGGGGGGGCAAGGTGAGGGGGGGCACGCCCTCTCGGAGGGCTCGGAAGTCCCTCGGCCGTCGGAGCAGTGTCCTAATAAGGCCATCCCCGAAGACACGGGGAACCTCTCCGAAGGCCCGAGGGCCTCATCTCCTTCTCCCTCCCTCCGCCCCTGCCCGCCGCCGATGCTCAGGAGGGTGAAGGAGTCCCGGGGACTGGGCGAACTCACGACGCTGGGGCCATGGGAACGCCAGGACCCCGCTGCTTGCCCCCTGCACATGGGCTGCGGCGCACTGGGGCCACAACCCCCGTCCGCCCTCCCTCTCCTCCGGCGTCGCAACTTCCTCGTGATCGGAGGAGGAGGAGGAGGAGGAGGAGGAGGAGGAGAGCCCTGGTTGATCTCGACCCCTTCCCGCGACGGCCGCTCTGACGGCCGTGTCGGCCAGAGCCGGCCCCGGGGTCCGGGAGGCGGCCCCCAGCCAGAAGCCGAGGGCCGAAGACGTTGCAAACACGCCGGCCAGTAGGATCGTTGCGTGCGGCGCCTGGCCCCCTGACATCCGACGCCGTGATGCTCTCAGCGCGCGGCCCCAGAGAGGCCCCGACCCATTCTCCGGGGGTAACTTTCAGTCGGGCGTGTCCCCCTACAGGGGGATTTCGGAGGATTTGTTTTTTGTTTTTCGCTCAGGCATCTTTTGGAGAGGGGGGAGGGGGGGACGAGAGAGGGACGCGGACAGCCGATGGCCGATGCCTCCTCGCGCAGCAGTGCCCGGCTCCTGTCATTGAAGCGGAGGAGAAATGAAAGATGCCCATGTTCAAAAATACTCAAAGAATAGTCCCCAGACTATGTTTGGACTATGTTTGAGCATTCCCCCGAGTAGAGGGACAGGCCCGACTTCAGGGTAACTTCTCGTCCCCAGACTATTTTTGGACTATGTTTCAACATTCCGCCTGTGGAGGGACAGGCCCGACTTCAGGGTAACTTCTCGTCCCCAGACTATGTTTGGACTATGTTTGAGCATTCCCCCGAGTAGAGGGACGGGCCCGACTGCAGGGCAACTTCTCGCCCCAGGTCCGCTGCTGCTGCTCCCGAGGCCCCAAACACCGGGCCCCGGAGGCCGAGCTCCAGGAGCACCTCCCAGGCTGAGCACTGAATGGGGCCCTGGGACACACAAACAAATACACACAAGTAAAACAATCCCCGTATTTAACAAGGGCCCTCCTCGGCACGGGCTGTCCAAATATTCGGTACCGGGACCCGTCCCGGGTGCGTCCAGCCCTGATCATTGGAAGCCAGATGTTTCTGCCGCTGCGAAAGACGAGATACGTCGCTACTACTTCTCCAAATTCCGATTATCGGTCGCGACCGATTTTGAGTGCCGATCGGTCGCCACCGCTCGCGGCCGACAAGAATCTGGCATCCGAGGATCTGGGTGGCCAGAGCTCCACGGCGGACCCAGTCAGCCGCGCCGACGGGAGGCCTCCCTGAGGCTCTGGGAGGGAGCGATCAAACACCGCGATGCTCGAGGCTCGGCCCTTGATCCTCTCCCGCTCCTCCCCAGACCCCCTCGCGTCGCGAAAAACGCCTTCGGAACATGCAACGCGTTGCTATTTCCGGCCTGTGGGAGCCCTCGCCGGGCCGCAGGAGCGTCACAACACAACCATCGTTGTTGGACAACTCGGGATGAGAAGCCGGCGAAGCCGGTGCTGGGGAATGGGTCAAGACCTCTGGGGGTCGACGTTGCAAAAAATTACAGCAGCGAAGCAGCCTAAAAGCAGCACAAGTGACGAGACGGGTCGGGAAGTAGTATGAAAAGCACGGCCAGGAAGCCCTGAGGAAGAAAAGATGCAGTCGGGACAGGTGTGAGAGCACGGCCATGCGCACTTTAGTTCCCCAAGCAATGGCTGCACTCAAGGATTGCACCTTCCCCTGCTCTCAGGGAACTGGCCGTGTGTGGCGGTCTCGCAACTATGATGTCGCCGTCGCCGCCCCGTCGCAACCTCGTCGCCGACCATCGTCTGGGCTTGTGTTGCGGTCTGGCGGCTATGGTGTCGCGGTCACCGCTCCGTTGTTGCTTATCGTCTGGGCCTGCACTGTTTGGCATTGCTTGGCATTGCGATACCGTGACTTGCGTTGCTTTGACTTGCTTTGCATTGCCATGCCGCGCTTTGCATTTCTTTGCAGTGCTCTGCGTTGCTTTGTACTGCTTCGCGTTACTTTGCTTTGCCTTGCATCGCTTTGCATCGCTTTGCATTGATTGCGTCGCATTGTCTCACATATCGTATTGCCCCCAATGAGTCTTTGGACCCTCCCCAATAGTTGGAAACATAATTCTTTTCGGCGACCTTATTGACGGACTGGGGTCCCACCAATAACGGGGCATCATATGTGTTACGCGGCACCCATCGCACAACAATGACGACGACGACTACACTTACGATTGCGACTACGGTGGCGGCTACAACCACGACCACGACTACGACTACAATCACGTCTACAATCATAATTAAACTCACGGTTACAACCACGACTTCAATCAAGGCTACAACCACAACCAATGATTCCGTTTGCAAACCTATGAGAAGATTCTCACACATCCTCTCACGTGTAGGGTCGTCCGCAATGGCTTATTCCCTTGGGAAAAATGCAGCCCCAACATCATCCAACCCGCCCAACGGCAGTGGGAACATAATCTCCGCAACGACGACGACGACTAAGATGGCGACTAGAAACGCGACTACGACAACGATGAAACTCACGATTGCAACCCCGACTACAAGCACGACTGCAATCACATCTACAATCACGATTGACCTCACGATAATAACCACGATTACAATCACGACTACAGACGCAACCAATGATTCCTATTGCAATCCTCATGGGAAGATGCCCACACATCCTCTCGCGTGTGGGGTCGCCAGCATTGGATTGTTCCCTGGGAGAAGGGACCCCCCAACATTACCCAACCCGCCAAACAAGTGGCACGTGTGCCATAGCCCTTGCACAAAAAGAAAGGGGGAGGAGGAGGAGGAGGAGGAGGAGGAGGAGGAGGAGGAGGAGGAGGAGGAGGTGGAGGAGGAGGAGGGGGGAGGAGGGGGCAAGGCATCGCCCTCTGGGCCCAGCAACGGGGCCCAAGTCCCAGGTGGGGAGGGTGGGGGAGGCGGCGTGCGTCGCGACGCGGAATAAAGTGCTCGGAACGGAGGGAGCACAGGGCGGAGGTCCCACTGGGGCGCTGGGGGCGCGGAGGGGAAGGGGGGGTGGTTGTGCCGCGACGCGGATAAACTGTCGGGGCGGAGGGGGCACTGGGCGGGGCTTGGGGCAGAGGGCCACGGGGCGGGGGTCCAACTGGGCGCTGGGGAAAGGGGGGGAAGGTGGGAGGTGGCGTGCGTCGCGACGCGGAATAAAATTGTCGGGGCGGAGGGGGCACGGGGCGGAGCCCCCACTGGGGCGCTGGGGACGCGGGGAGGGAGGTAGGGGAGGTGGTGTGCGGCGCGACGCGGGATGAAGCGTTAGTGGCGGAAGGGGCAGTGGGCGTGGCCCCCGCTGGGGCGCTGGGGACGCGGGGGGGCTCGGGGCGGAGAACCACGGCGCGGGGGTCCCACTCTGGCGCTGGGGGCGCGGACGGGGGGGGTGCGACGCGTAATGCAGCGTTCGTGTCGGAGGGGGCAGTGGGCGGGGGCCCCGCTGGGGGCGGGGGCGCGGTGGGGCTTGGGGCAAACAGCCACGGCGCGGGGGCCCCACGCTGGCGCTGGGGACGCGGGGGCGGGGGGGGGAGGTGCGACGCGGGATAAAGCGTTCGTGGCGGAGGGGGCAGTGGGCGTGGCCCCCGCTGGGGCGCTGGGGACGCGGCGGGCTCGGGGCGGAAAGCCACGGCGCGGGGGCCTCACACTGGCGCTGGGGGCGCGGGGGGGCGGGGGGGGGCGACGCGGGATAAAGCGTTCGTGGCGGAGGGGGCAGTGGGCGGGGCCCCCGCTGGGGCGCTGGGGACGCGGGGGGCTTGGGGCAGAGAGCCACGGCGCGGGGGCCCCACTCTGGCGCTGAGGACGCGGGGGGGGGTAGCGACGCGAAATAAAATGGTCGGAGCTCTAGACACCCTGTGCAAGAGAATAACATGGTCGGGGCGGAGGGGGCGGTGCGCTGGGCTGGGCTGCTGGGGAAAGGGGGGGGGGGGCGACGACGACGCCGAAAAAAAGTGGTCGGGGCGGGGGGGCGGCGCGCTGGCTGCTCGGGAGAGGGGGTGGGGAGGGGGGCGACGACGACGCCGAAATAAAAATGGTCGGGGGCGGAGAGGTCGGCGGGGGGGGGGGGGGGATGCTGCTGGGGAAAGACAGGGGGGGGGGGGCGAACGACGACGCCGAAATAAAGTGGTCGGGGCGGAGGGGGCAGCGCGCTGGGCTGCTGAGGAGGGAGGGAGAGGGGGGGGGGGCGACGACGACGCCGAAATAAAGTGGTCGGGGCGGAGGGGGCGGTGCGCTGGGGTGCTGGGGAGCGACACGTAGCGACACATGTCGACACAGCGCCGAAATAGGGCGACGACGACGCCGAAATAAAGTCGTCGGGGCGGAGAGGGCGGTGCGCTGGGCTGCTGGGGAAAGCGACACATGTCGACACAACGCCGAAATAGGGCGACGACGACGCCGAAATAAAGTGGTCCGGGCGGAGAGGGCGGTGCGCTGGGCTGCTGGGGAAAAGGACAGGGGGGGCGACGACGACGCCGAAATAAAGTGGGGGCGGAGTGAGGGGGCAGCGACGCTGGGCTTGGTCTGAGGAGACGACGGAAATAAAGTCGTGGGGGGGCGACGACGACGCCGAAATAAAGTCGTCGGGGCGGAGGCGGCGGTGCGCTGGGGTGCTGGGGAGCGACACATAGCGACACATGTCGACACAACGCCGAAATAAAGTGGTCGGGGCGGAGGGGGCAGCGCGCTGGGCTGCTGAGGAGAGGGAGAGGGGGGGGGGCGACGACGACGCCGAAATAAAGTCGTCGGGGCGGAGGGGGCGTTGCGCTGGGGTGCTGGGGAGCGACACGTAGCGACACATGTCGACACAACGCCGAAATAAAGTGGTCGGGGCGGAGGGGGCAGCGCGCTGGGCTGCTGAGGAGAGGAGAGGGGGGGGGGGCGACGACGACGCCGAAATAAAGTCGTCGGGGCGGAGGGGGCGGTGCGCTGGGGTGCTGGGGAGCGACACGTAGCGACACATGTCGACACATATCGACATATAGAGACATATATCGACACACACACACACACATCGACGCATAGCGACACACAGCGACACATAGCGACGCACACATGGAGACGCATAGCGACACACAGCGACACATATAGCGGCACATGAAGGGCACAAGGCACACAGCGACACATATAGCGACACATGAAGGGCACAAGGCAGCTGGGGGGGAGCGACGACGACGCCGAAATAAAGTGGTCGGAGCTCTAGACACCCTGTGCAAGAGAATAGAGGGAACACATCTCCGCCGCGACGACGACGACGGCGACGACGATGACGACCACGAGGAGGAGCAGAAGCAGGACGAGGAGGAGGAGCAGAAGCAGGACGAGGAGGTCGATAGAAACACACTTCTTGGGATCCAGGCTGGCGAACATGACGGTGTCCTACCGGGGATCGTGGCCGCCCAGACCCAACACGTGGCCTACACTGGAGCGAGAGCACGCTTCCTAACTTGCTGAAGGCCTAACGCGCGAAACGGCTGCCAGACTGGGTGGTCTAGGGTTCGCCGTCCCCCCCTGTGGGATTTTTCCGTCGTCCTTGTATACCACCGTCAGGGGAACTGGAGGCTTCTCAGCTGTACTGTTGCCTATTAGGGACGCTCGAGGCATCCTAGTTGGAAGGGTTCCGAGTAGCTGGATGGGGCCAATACGTCGAAGATGCATGGGCGATGCTGCGCGATCCTCCGACCCCATCTGCTCGGACCCCACCTGGGAGGCCTACGTAGGCAACTGTTGCCTAGCGTGTCGCGGCGGCGACCCCAGCGACACACTATGCCCTGCAAGCGGATGACGTGCCGCTCCGCTCAGCCGGGCGGTAGGCCACGGGAAGGCTCGTGACATCGACGTCTGGGGGCCCGGATGTGGATAGCGTGTCGCGCAGTACCGTGGTGGGGCAGAACTGGCGGAGCGACTGTCCAACAGAAGTTCCTGGCCGTAGGGAGGAATGCGACGTCGAGGGCCGGCCTGGGCTTGGTTTCCTCCTCGCCACCGCTCCCCCCCAACCGGGCCGATCGGATCGGGCAGCAGGGCTGGCCCGGCAGCGGGCAGGTTGTCTGGCTGAGCCAAGGACGTTCATGAAGTAGTCCAGCCAGGAGGCCCATCTACCGAAGATGCCTCCAGGGAGAGCCCCCCTTCCCCCTCCTCCTTCCCGCTAGCCCATTCAGCACAGCCTCATGCTGATGCCACCTTTCGACAACGACCCGCTCTCCCCTGCTCGCCTTGAGGAGGAATCGGGTGACGAGGAGGAGAGAGGAGGAAGAGGAGAGGAGGAGGAGGAGAGAGCGAGGAGAAGTAATCAGGATTATGAAGTAGAGAGGAAGAGGGAGGAGGTGAGGACAAGGAAGAGGAGGAGGAGGAACGACGTAGCCCGAGCAGAGGGAGAAGGAACATCATCATCCTCCTCCTTCTCCTCCTGCTCATTGTGGTGTTTCCTTACCCTTCTCTTTCCTCCTCCTCCTCCTCCTTCTCCTGCTCATCGTTCTGCTTCCTTCTCCATCTCCGTCCTCCTTCCTCCTTTCTCCCTTCCCCCCTCCCTCATAATCGCCCCCCCCGTGTTTTGACCGGCTCTTCGAGGCGGGCCCAGCCGTGGCGACGAGGGCGCGCGCCCCTTGAGAAGGGCCCCCCTTCTCCGCCTCCTCCCTTCCCCCCTCCTACTGCGTAGACTGTCGCGCCCCTTGAATCCCACAGAGTCCTCCCTCCTTCCTCATCGATCTCCGCTTCGCCCTCCTCCTAATCCCCCCGGAGCTCCCCCACCCCTGTTTCGCCGCCTCCTCCATTGCACCTCCACAATCCCGCCCTCCCTCCTCGAGCTTCGCTTCCTCCTCATCCTCCTCGCCCAACTCGTGTTCGTCCTCCGAGTTCCTTCTTCTCCTTTTCCTCCTCTTCTCTGGAGGTCTCCCCAGGAGCCCCTGTAGACGTCCTCAGAGGTCTCCAGAAGCCTCTGGCAGTCCTGAAAGGATCAGAAACGCTGAACAACCTTGCTCTTCCTCCTCCTCCCTGCCATCTCCTACTCTCTCCTCCTTCCTCCCTTCCTCCGTCAAGGGTGAGGAAAAGGATGATGATGATGATGATGATGATGATGATGATGATGATGATGATGATGATGATGATGATGCTGATGCTGATGCTGATGCTGATGCTGATGAGGATGAGGATGAGGATGAGGATGATGATGCTGATGATGATGATGATGATGATGATGATGATGATGATGATGATGATGATGCTGATGCTGATGATGAGTATGATGATGATGCTAATGATGCTGATGATGATGAGGAGGAGGAAGAGGAGGAGGAGGAGGAGGAGGAGGAAGCATAAAGGCGAAAGGGTCGTGAGGGAAGCGGTTCCTGGACTCCAGGACCTACATTCCATCCCGACTTGTTTTTGTGAAGCCCCCTCCCTGACCTCCCAGAATATTGAAAAACGGTCTTCCAGACATGCAGACCTAGTAGGACTGCTTTTTGAATTCTCAACTGGGATCTAATATCAGGGGCTCTGGTGCTATTTCGCGAGCAATCCTGGAAGTTTAGGGCTTGCCCTTCGTGGCGAGGAGCATCGGAGCAGGACGAGTTAAAACAACGGCAGCTCAGAATCGGTCCCTGGACCCCTCCAAAGGTCCAAACGCACAAACTGCCCGATCTGCGTCCATGCGTGGCGACGGGGGCCCCCCCCGAAAGCAACTACCGTTGTCTCAACCGTCCCTCCCCTGGATCAAACCGTTCTGGGCTGGTTCTGGGCCCACTATGGGCCCGCATCGGGGCAGTTCTGGGCCTGATCTTGGCCGGATCTGGGCCCGTCCTGGACATTTGAAGCCAACCCACAGGGAGCTGTTGATCGTCCGCATGTCGCCCAATAGCGCGAAAAGCTCCACAGTAGGGCCCTCCTCTGAGAGGGGCATGGCCAACCGGCCGAGGAGAGCTGCGCGCCTTCTGCGAGGCAGGGGTGGAGCAACCTCAGCTTGTCGCCCGTGCTCGGCTTCTCTGAGGCGAGGCAGTGCATCGGCTGCACCGCCTGGACCTCCTGTAGGGGAGCGAGCAGTGACATAAACATCAGAGTGAGAGGGGGCCGAACGGTCAATCATCGTACCTGGGCGCGTGGCTGAAGTGAGGTTCTGCGGTGCGAACCGTGGCTGTTTTGTGTTGTCTGTTGTGGTTTGTTATGGTTTGTTGTACGTTGTCATCGTCCCCCCCACGACCCGGCCCGCGACCCACCCGCGACCCACCGGCGACCCACCCGCGATACGGCCCGCGACCCACCCGAGGTCCACCCACGACCCACCCGGCGACCCACCCCCAGGACCCACCCGCGACCACCTGGCCCGCGACCCACTCGCGACCCACCCGCGACTCATCCGCGACCCGGCCCGCGACCCACCCGCGACCCACCCGCGACCCACCCCGCAACCCGCCCGCGACCCACCCCGTGACCTACCCGTATTGCTTTAACAAAAATATCGGCTCCGGCGGCGGGCATCTTCAGAGCCTCGCAGACTGCCGACGTCCCCGCCGCCCCTCACTCTATCCGCAACTGCGGGGTGCTACGTAAAAACTCTGAGGTCCGCGCGGATTCCTCGGGTCGGCGCTGGGGCCCCCTGGCGGCACCTCTGGCGCCGCCTCTGGTGCGCTGCGCGCGCCAAGGAGGAGGGGTCCAGCGCCGATCTGAGAAATCCGCGAGTACCTCCGAGCTGTTATGCCTTCGTAATTGTTTGCTCCCCGGCTCCTGCAGCATTGCCTCTCGGGGGCGTCAGCGCCAGCACCGGCGACGACGACGGCGGAGACGACGATGCCGCCAGCGCGCCGATCACGACTGCGAAAACAGCAAGGACAGCGACGACAACGCGACGACGACGATTTCCGCCGTTGCCGCTGCTGCTGCCGTCGTCGACGTCGTCGATGCAGAAGTCGTCGATGCCATCGTCGCTGCTCTTCTCCTCCCGCCTCCTTCTCCTCCTCCTCCTCCTTCTCCTCCTCCCTCCTCCCTTCTCCTCCCTCCTCTTGGGACGTCGAACTCTGGGGATTCAGGCGGTCCCCCCAGCTGACACTAACATGTTTCGTGAATTCGTGTGAGAGCACACCAAATCGAACCTCCTTCCTCCTCCCTCTTCTTCCTAGCGCGCTGACGATGTCGGGACTTGAGTCTCCTGATCCTCGCCTTGCTTCCTCCCCATCCTCCCGCTCCCCCCCCTCCCCCTCCAGCTCCTCCTCCTGCTCCTCCTGCTCTTCCTTCTCCTCATCCTCCTTCTCCTCCGCTCGCTCTCTCGCTGTTTGGCACTGGTTCTCTGTGCCCTCCTTCTACTCCTCCTCGTCCTCCTCCTCCTTCCCGCAAGATCTCCAGCACGCTCGGGAGCCAACACTTGCAACACACGTTACAAGCGAATCCTGATCCTCGAACTCAGAGATCCGATGTCTCGATTTGTTCGATGAGGGGTCCCTGGAAGTATGGACCCTTTCCTCAGGCGGGTTTCCCATCCCGAGTACTTTTGATGACGGTCCAGGCGCCCAGCGGGGAGGGCCCCGGGAGGCCGAGCACGGCGAGAAACGTCCTTATCGTGTTGGTGCCGACGCGTTGGAAGCCTGCGTGTGATCCAAAAATCCTCCATCGGGAGGCTCCGGGCGCCCTGGCCTTCGACGTCCTCGAAGGCCGGGGCGGGATGCCTTCTCCTGCCATCGTCGAGGGTCTCCTGCCGGCCAAAGGGAGTGCCCTCGGCGGGATCGCGGAGCCCGCGCCCGTAGGCGAAAGAAAGCCATCCCTCCTCCCTCCCCCTGCGCCCTCCTCCTGCTCCCTCCTCCTCCTCCTTCTACTCCTCCTTCTCCTCCTCCTCCTCCTCGTCTGCTGCTCTTCCTCCTCCTCCTCCTCCTCCTCCTCCTCCTCCTCCTGCCCCCTCCTCCTGCTCACCACTTCCTTCTCCCTCCTTCTTCTGCCTCCTCCTCCTCCTCCTCCTACGCCTCCTTCTCCTCCTACTCCTCTTCCTCCTTTCCTCCTCCCCCTCCTCCTCCTCCCTCCTGCCTCCTCCTGCTCCTCCTCCTCCTCCCTCTCTCCTTTCCTCTTCATCCTCTCTCCTCCTCCGCCTCCTCCTCCTCCTCCTCCTCCTCCTTCTCCTCCTCCTCCTCCTCTCGTCCTCACCGCTCTCCTCCTCTCTCCTCAGACTCCCATCCTGCTCCTCCTCTTCCTGCTCCTGCTCCCTGCTCCTCCTCCTCCCCCCCTTCTTCCTCAAGCTCTGTCCTCCTCCAATGTCCGACTCAATCCTCGTCTCCTCCTCCTCCTCCTCCTCCTCGTCCTCCTCTCCTCTCCTCTTCATCCTCCTCCTGCTCTTCTTTCTCCTCCTACATCCTTTCCAACTAAGTAACTTCTCCCTGTCGCACCCCGAGACGTGTCGGTAGGGCGAGGTGGGCGTTTCGCCTGAGACTTCCTCACCACGTCTAATCCTGAAGCTTCAAATTCAGAACAGTCACACGCATGGAGGGCGGGTGGTACATTCGTCTCGAAAGTTTGTAAGAGCTTCATGGACGGAGGGCGCGTGGTTTTCAACATGTGGATATCACCGCATCGCAACACACACTCGTCTTGAAGATCCGCAAGAGTTTCACAGGTGGAGGGCGCGTGGCTTTTCAAAACCGTGGCGCCCGGGGGACATTCGTGTTGAATGTTTGTAAGCGTTTCCCGGGTCGAGGGCGGGTGGTTTTCAACATGTGGTTCTCGCCGGAGCGCCGCGCACAGTTGTCTTGAAAGTGTGCAAGAGTTTCACAGTCGGAGGGCAAGTCCTTTCAAAACTGTGGCTCTCGACTCAGCGCCGCGCACATTCGTCTTGAAATGATGTGTATGTAGCGCCCCGCAGTTGCGGACAAGAGTGAGGGGGCGACGGGACGTCTGCAGTCTGCGAGGCTCCGAAGAAGCCCGCAGCAGGCGCCTAATTCTTACGGATTATACCACGGGCCCGCCGCATGCGCTGATTTTTCGTAAAATCAATGTGGGTGGGTCGTGGGGTGGGTCGCGGGTGGGTCGCGGGCCAAGGTCGCGGGTGGGTCGCGGGTGGGTCGTGGGTGGGTCGCGGGTGGGTCGCGGAAGGTCGCAGGTGGGTCGTTAGCGGGTCGCGGGCGGGTCGCTGGGGGCGGGGGGTCGCGGGAGGGTCGCGGGAGGGTCGCGGATGGGTCGCAGAAAATCGCGCGTGGGTCGCGGGTGGGTCGTGGGCGGGTCGCGGGGTGGGTCGCGGGCGAGTCGCGGGCCGGGACGCGGGGGGACGACGACAACAAACAACAGCAACAACAACAACAACAGACAACAACAACAATAACAACCACATCACCAACAACAACACCAACAATACCAGCAGTAGCAACACCAGCAGCAGCAGGAACAGCACCAACAGCAGCATCAACAACAACACCAGCAAAAACAACACCACCACCAACAACACTAATCATCCGCATCGCGGAATCCCACTTCAGCCACGCACCCAGGGACAGTGGATGACCGTTCGGCCCCTCACTCTGCTGGGAGGGTCACGAATAGAGGGCAGGCAATTCCTCTACAATATGTGGCTCTCGCCGTAGTGCCGCGCACATTCGTCTTTACAGTTAGTTTTCAAGACCGTCACCTGTGGAGGGCGGCTCCTTTTTGAAATGTGGCTCACGCCTCAGCGCCGCGCACATTCGGTGTAATAATTCGCGGGGGCTTCACTGATGGATGGCGGGTCGTTTTCAAAGTGTGATTTTCGCCATAGCACTCGCACGCGTTCTTCCTAACAGCTTGCAAGAATGTTATGCATGCAGGGCGGCATTTGCTCAACATGTAGCTCTCGTTTCAGCGTCGCGTAAACTTTTCTTGAAACTTCGCAAAGGCTTCACGGATGGATGTCGTTTCCTTTTTAAGGTGATACGTCCGCATGAGCGAGGCGAACATGTGTCTTAAACCTTTGCAATTGCAAACATGAAGCATGGAGGGCGAGTGGTTTCCCAAATGTGGTTCTCGCCTGAGCGCCGTGCACCTTCGTAATGGAAACGTGTCAGAGCTTCACGGATGGATGGTGGCTCTTGTTCAAAATGTGGCTCTCGCCTTAGCGCCGCGCACATCCGTCGTGGAAGGTTACAGAATTTGGGCACCTTTTATGGTTCACGTCTCAAGGATGGTGTCCTGGCACGAAAAAATGGTTGCCTGGGCGCGACAGTCACATTGATTCGCGGAGTTGAAGTCGTACGAGTGGTCTTCTGGCACGGTGCAGGATCGTCAGGACGCAACAGTGAAGTTGATTCGCGGCGTTGAAGTACAAAAAATGATGTTTCGGCACGGTGGGGGATTCTCGGACGGCTGTCTTCCAACGGGGCACTTCCATAAGTGAACATGCATTCTTCCAGGAACCACTAGAAGGGGAAACTTGGACGGAGGCTTTACTGCAACATCCTTGATGCGTCTTGGGCTTGCACTGGTCCTCCTCCTCCTCCCTCCCTCCTCCTCCTCCTCCTCCGCCTCCTCTTCCTCGTACTGCTCCTCCTCCTCCTCCTCCACCTCATTCTCCTCCTCCCACCAAATGGGGCTAGTCAACCAACCAGCCTCTCTCTTCCCACATCCTCCTCCCTTTTGGATGCGAGGCCGAGATCTATCCATATCCACCGCGAGGGAAACCGATGTCGTGGGACCCCCAGAGGCGGTGGATGCGGACAGGTTTGGGCCCCCTTGGAGCCCAACTAAATCCATGTCTTTGCCCGCAAATGTCCCCGAAGACCTTTCCCCTAGGCGGTGGTTGGTTGTAGACAAATCCCCGCCTCGGACTGGAGGCCCAGAATCTTCGCCACGATCTTCTGGGACGCTAGAAGTCTGGGTCCTCGCCAGACTCCTGACCCCAGGCCGTCGTTGCGGCGAACCTGGCCTGGATAACGAGGAGCCTCTCAGAAGACCAAAAAAAGTACTTTTTCAAAGTATCCACCGCCGCCCTGCCCAGGGGAAAGGCAAAGAGGGCAGGCCTTCTCAAAGCTCGGAAGGTCTCCAGCGTCCTAAGAGGCGTC